GCCGGAAGCGGCCACTGCACTCCAGTCTGGGCGACAGAGTGAGACTCCAACTCAAAAATAGCTAGCCGGGCTCAGTGGCGCATCCTGTAATCCCGTGCTTTGGGAGGCCGAGTTGAGTGGATTGCCTGAGCCCGCGGGTTCAAAACCTGCCTGGGCAACTTGGCGAGCCGGAGCCCAGCAGGTCGAGGCTGCAGTGGCCGGGAGTGACCACTGCACTCCAGTCTGGGTGACAGAGTGAAACTCCAACTCAAAAAAAAAAAAAAAATTAATAGTTGAGTGAATAAATGGATGAGATACTCCCTCTTTCCCTTGGGCTGTCAATATTCCTCTTATGGTCCTTAGTATGCCCCAAAGCCTAGAACATTTTTTTTTAATTGAATGAACAAATCATCTTACATTTTGTGTCTTTATGGGTAGTTTTAGTTGCTTTTCTACCTGGGGGGATTCATAACCTGCCAGAATCACCGTGGAGATTGGCAGTAGAAAAGAAAGACTGTTCCCACTCCCTTTGCCTGGTCCCTGTGCACAGCAAGCTTCAATAAACTTGTCTTATTGGATTGAAGTGAATCTGGCCTTACAGAGGCTTTCACCAGAGAAAATGTGCTTGCTTTCCCATCCCTCCCCCAACAAGCACTGTAATCTCTGGGGCACCTGCTTGTCATCCTCAGTCTTTTTTGTTTGTTTGTTAATTAGCTACACAGTCTTCCTATGTTGTCCATACTGGTCTTGAACTCCTGGACTCAAGTAATCCTCCTGCCTCAGCCTTCCAAAGTGCTGGAATTACAGGCATGAGCCACCATGGTAGCACACCAGGAGTGTGCTACCATGTGACTTTGAATTGGTTACTGTATATCTCTAGACCTAAGCTTCCTTTCTGGGGAAAAAAAAAATCCTTGCTTCCTTCAAGGTCATTGGGAAGATCCAACAAGATCAAGCAGGCACCCCAAAAAAGTCCAGTATTGAGATGAGAAATGAATATTAACTTCTGTGTGGTAAAGAAGTGACCACAGCTGAAGGGATGGCAAATTCATCACTAGAATGTGGAAATTAGTTGAGCCTGTGGGGAAACATAATGGTTTCATAATCACACTCTCAAAGAAAGGTCCAAAGGAGCCCCTGGGGCTGGATGAAACTTTCACTCACCAAAAAGCTATAGAAATTATTTCCCCATCCAAGAAAAGATCATCTCTTTAGAAAAAAACTACCTTTTTCTGACTTAAAAAGGTTGTTGTTTTTCTTTTTATAAAGAAAATACTTGTTTCCTGTGGAATTCATTGTAGATTTTTTTTTTTTTTTTTTAGTTGGAGTCTCACTTTGTTACCCAGGCTGGAGGGCAGTGGCATGCTCCCAGCCACTGCAGCCTCGACCTGCTGGGTTCAGGCAATCCTTCCACCTCAGCCATCCAAGTAGCTGGAACTACAGGTGCGGGCTACCAGACCCGGCTAATTCTTTGATTTATTGTAGAGAAGAGGTCTCGCCAAGTTGCCCAGGCTGGTCTCAAACCCGTGGACTCAGGCAATCCTCTCACCTCGGCCTCCCAAAGTGCTGGGATTATAAGTGTGAGCCACCGTGCTTGACCTGAGAATTTTTTTTTTTTTTAATACCAAAACACACCAAGAAGAGAAGCCCCTCTAGCCACACTACATGGAGGTCTCCACTTGTAACTATCAAACAAATTTGTATTTTGTTGTAACTGCAATTTTGTATCCTGCTTGGTGAACAACCCCCACGTAATTAAATAGTCTAATACAACAGTGCACAAATTTGTTGCAATCTATGTAACCAATCTCTTATTGTTGGACATTTGAGGCCTTGCATTTATTTTTTTGGTTTTTCTGTTTGTTTCAGGCTTTAGGGCAGTTATACGTGCTGCAATACCTTTGTTACACAAGTCTTTACACATATCCTTGATTGTGTCCTTTGAAATCTTGGATATGGAATTGCTAGACGAAAGGGTATATGATACATATTGCTAATTTGTCTTCTAAGAGTGATTTTACCCATTTACGCTACTACAAGCAATTTCATAGGACTTCATTGGAGTTGGTGTCACTAACTGTCAAATACCGAACTAGAACTCTCCGCCCGGTCTCTTGCCCTCCTTCGCGTTTCCCCGCCCACTCCGCACACCCACCGCCCTCGGTTCACGATGGCCCGCCCCTTCCTCACCCCCTCCCCCCCCCCACCAACTCTGTCCAATCAAAGGCAGTCTTCCGCAGTATCGCCGTGCGGTTGGCAAGGTGAAGTGTCTGTCGCGCTCAGGGGCGGGTGGAGCGGGCTGACGGACGTGGTGACCAGCCAGTGAAAGCGGGGAGAGGGGCGTGCGTGGCGTGCGCGGCGCGCTGGCCTGGAAGCGCTGGAACCTGTGAGGTGTGCGAGAGGGTGGCGGTGAGAGAGTGGCGGACATGGCTCCCAACGCGCCAGGGTCTGAACCCGAGTATCCTAAAGGCATCCGGGCCGTGCTGCTGGGGCCTCCCGGGGCTGGCAAAGGTACCCAGGTGAGCAGCAGGACTGGGCTCGGCGGCGGAGCCCGCGGAACTCCAAGGTCAGGGCAGCGGGAGATCCGGAAGCTCTCTGCTTGCCCGGGAGCGGGACGGGGGGGGGGGGGGTGGCTGGTCAGGGTCTCGGGTTCTCGCGAGGCATTTGGGGGAGGGTCCAAACTAGAGATCTGGTTGGGATTGGAGTGCTTTTGAGGGATTCAGGCTGGTAGTGTGGTAGGGGCTTCAAAGGCTGTTTCGATCCCTTAAGGTTAGGGACTGAAAGCTCTAGGAATAGGGTGAGCTGAGGCCTCTAGGTTACAGGCTGGGATGAAGGCAAGAAGCTTTATGGCCCGATTCCCTGAGAGTTGGGAGCGAATTGTCTAGAACCAGCGTTACATTCCAGGCACTAGGAGTAGGGGGACGTTTTAAAGTAATAATAATGATTAATAACGGGGGTGGGGGAGGAGCATCGCCAGCAGGAGGGGCAGAGTGGGGGCTGGCGTGTGCCGATTGGGAACACTGCTAAGAGATGTGAGGTGTGGCCTGTGTGAGCCGGTTGGGGTGGGGGTATGGGAGAAAACCTTAGAGTCTCCCGGTGTGTCTGAAAGCTGGAGGTGTGTGTGTAAAATTGGTTTACTCCTTGGGGAGCCATGGGGCTTCTGGTTAGGACCCTGAGTCTGAATCTTTGTGTAGTTGGGAATGCTCATGGAGCCTCTGCTTCCAGTTGGGACCTGAGGCCACTGAAAGCTAAGCAATTCAGGATGACTCCAGTGACTTTAGATGAGAGGGACTTGACATTTTAACTTCCCAGAGAGATCAGGTGACTTTCCCAAGCTAGTGAAATTGGTTTCATGGAGCCTGGAACCTCAGGAGCCATGGGGCTCCAGAGGATTGGGGTCTGAAGTTATCTTGTGCCCTAGCTGACTGCCGGGGTGGGGGAGGCCTCAATGGCATCTGGGCCCCCTTCAGATATGGGACATAATGGGGCCATAGATCTGCATTGGGACTTAGATTTCGTTGAGGACTTGGAAGCCCATAGATTGGATTGTCCATGTCTCCTTCCTGCATTGCCCCCCAGGCCCCAGGCTTCAGGCTCTTGCTTGATGTTTAGGCTCCACAGAGAGAATGCCTTGAAGTCTAAGCTCCCAAATGAATGGGGATCTGGGGACTGTTCTGTGCTCACTCTTCTCTTCCTAGTACTTGCCAGGTTTAAAATGTCTTGGCAAATAGATCGTCTTACTCATTCTTTGGACTCTCTAAGGCACCTAGCACATTACTTGGCACTTGATAGGGTTGCAGTACTGGAAATGGACACATGTCACAGATTACTGAGTGTGATGAGGAAAAGGCAGGTCTGGGATCTCTATTCTTCCTGTGACATTGCTTTCTGCCTCTGGGCACTAAATGAGGAAAGACCACTTTTCTTTTTCCCTCCATAAACTGAGCTGATTCTTCTTTGGAGCTCATCAGTAGTACCTAATCCCTTTGCCCTCAGTGTTGTTGACATCTCCCCTTTCCTGTTGCTGCTCACTCAATTGTTAGGTGATCTGCAACCTAGTGATGTTTAATTCCAGACTCTGCAGGTTGCTATGAGTGACCAAGTATAAACAGGGTGGCTAAAATGCATTTATTTATTTATTTTTTCCTTAACTCATAGTGAAATTAATAATTTTAGTAGTTATGAAACGGACAACCTATCCTAGTGCCAAAACAAGGACTTTGTAGTCTACCAAACTATGTAACTTCTGAGCCTCAATATTCTCATCTGTAAAATGGAGATAATACCTACCTTACTTATCATTTCATGAGCACCTAACATAGGCAATAAAGCAGTGAACAAGACTGATAAGGTCCTTGCCCACATCGAATAAAAGTTCACAAGTATACTGGAAGATTGTTTTATATATGTATAAAGCACCCATAAGTACTTAGGTGACAACCTGGCACATAGTAAGTACTCAGTGAATACTGACTCCCTTATCTTGGTAAACCATTTCCCTCCCTTCCTTCACCTCGAATGTATTTCAGTGTGAGGAATGATTTATTCAGGAAGTTTTGAAGAAAATTATACTAAAGAGCTGATTGATAAGGATGCATGTATGGTGAGAGTTGGTCAGAGAAGGCTTTGTAGAAGTAGAGAGATGTGATTAGAGTTGGGAATTGAGGAAAGGATATGATTTACACAAGTCATTTAACCTCTGTACACCTTCCTTTTCAGAGCTGGAACAATAGAAATACTGGTACATATTTATATGGAGATTGTGTGTGTGTGTGTGTGTGTGTGTGTGTGTGTGTGTGCTGCTGTTT